GGTGCAGGGTCTGCTGGCTGGGTGCTGGCAGGCTTGCACCTGGCACGGGCACCGTAGCCAGCCTGTGCCCCTTTAAGGGGGCCGGGGCCAGGAGGGGGGCAATAGAGTTTCCCTGGTATTGGCCAGAGTGTCCACCAGGGAAATCTGGGGAGGGCTAGCCTCCCACTAATTCAAATTAAGGGGCTACACACCCCTTAATTCGAACTAGTAAGTTTGAACTAGGCTTAGTCCTCGTAGAATGATGTTTACCTAGTTCGAACTAAGCGCTCCGCTAATTCAAATTAAATTCTAACTAGCGGAGCGCTTGTGTAGCGCCTATCAAAGTTAATTCGAACTAATGTCCGTTAGTTCGAATTAACTTTGTAGTGTAGACATACCCCTAGTTAGGTGTACTCTAGTCCTGAGTAACCCAAATAATTGCACAAGAAAATAATTTCACACTCTTTGTGAAATTCTCTTAAGGCTCCCTAAGCACATAAACACTGTAGCATAATGGGCGGGGAGGGGGTAGTGTAGACATACCCCTAGTTAGGTGTACTCTAGTCCTGAGTAACCCAAATAATTGCACAGAAAATAATTTCACACTCTTTGTGAAATTCTCTTAAGGCTCCCTAAGCACATAAACACTGTAGCATAATGGGCGGGGAGGGGAAGGGTATATAAAAACATTTTGTCTTTAAAAATCACTTGAATTAATCGGTTTAGTCTAATGCATAGTTATAAGCAACATATTGAGCGGTTGGACTCTAACAATCTATAAGAATTGATTAACCATTTTAAAGCATTTATCAACCATTTATAAAGTTATTTAGAACTATAACTATAACATAAAGTGAGACCAAAACCAGGATGGATTTTTTTGATACTCTCATATTTATTTAGCTCTAAAATAAAAATAAAAATAAAAGATAATTGTGGCCAATGCCACATTAAGTGTAAAGAAATTATTTTTCATTCTTGCAGTTCAAGTACATATCTGAGGCTTGTATGATTGCTTTTTTATACTGATACTGGTAGTTTGCTGGCATGAGCGAAGCTTAACGTGTGGTGTCTTAGTAAGATTACATCATATGATCTCCTGACCTTTCAGATCTAGTTGGTCTCCTGAACCTTCACTAGAAGATCTTGATGCCTTTGTGGACTGTTGGAACAGATACATTATGGAGGTGTTACTAGCAACTCCATAGCTAAGATTGCACTAAATTTGGTGTGAAAAGAAGGATAGTATCCTCTTGTGAATGAAAAATACTGTATATCCTTTTCACATTATGGTAGTTAGTCTGAGTCAAAATGAATTGTCTGAAAAAGTACAGGCCAGTTTGTTAATTTAGGAATTAAAATTCATATAAATGAGCACTTCGAGAAATTTTTCATGAGCCCTTAATAATCACCCTTGCAGGGCTTAGGGTGGCACAGCTCCCAGAAGAGCTGCCAGCTTGCTCCTTTTCCAGCTGCCCCTCCCAGAAGGGAAATGGAGCAGAGCCCCCAACCCTGTCCTGATCATTTTCTCCAGTTTGTCCAGCTCATTTTGAATTTTAATCCTATCCTCCAGAGCACTTGCAACCTCTCCCATCTTGGTATTATCCGCAAACTGTGTAAGCATTATTGAAATCATTGATGAAGATATTAAATAGAATAATCCCTAGACCTGATCCCTGTAGGCGGCCACTCAATATGCCTTTTCAGCATCTCTGTGAGCCACTAGTAACAACCTTCAGGGAATGGTTTTCTCACCAGGTATGCGCCCAACTTATAATAGCTTCATTCAGGTTGTAGAGTGCTTACGAGAAAGCCACGCCCAACTTATAATAGCTTCATTCAGGTTGTAGAGTGCTAGTTTGCTTATGAGAAAGCCACATGAGACTGTATTAAAAATATTACAAATATCTGCTTAGAACCTACCAAGTGAACCAGATCTGCTCAACAGGTAGGACAAAAAAGAAGGGAAATCTGGCATGTGCGTTGGAAAAACAAAACACCTGTAAACACGAGTCTGTGACCCAAGATTAGACTACAATGATTTTTTAAAGACACATTTTGTTTTAAGTCTTGTTTTTTCCCCCTCACGCTGTCAACACAGGGTAGAGGTAAGGTTCTTTGGGTGCTCTGTATATTTCCACACTTTAAAATGTTTGGTTTTAGTTTAAGTGCAAACTTAACTGTGCAATTGCTGGGGTTGTAATGTTTGTTTTTGAAATCATTACAACCCTGTGTAGCATAGCTTTCCCTAAATTA